AAAATGCACTTTAACGGCTTGCTCCTCCTTCACAGGAATTATCCGGGCCACTCAGGTGAAAGAACAGCTTTCCTAAATTCAAAACAGTGCCTAGGTCAGTGTTTCTCAGCCCTGACTGCTTATTAGAATCATCTGGGTAGCTTTTTAAAAATAGCTATGCCCAGCCCTTCCTGATTAATTGGTCTGGAACGGGAACTTGGCCTAGTGCAGTCTTAAAAGCTCCCCGGATGATTCTAACCTACAGACAAGATTAAAACCAGTAGCATGCAAGAATGGCTTGGGCGGGGTGTCTAACATTTCTTTTTAGGGTCTTTTTTTTTTAATTTTTATTTATTTATGATAGTCACAGAGAGACAGAGAGAGAGGCAGACACAGGCAGAGGGAGAAGCAGGCTCCATGCACCGGGAGCCCGACGTGGGATTCCATCCCGGGTCTCCAGGACTGTGCCCTGGGCCAAGGGCAGGCGCCAAACCGCTGCGCCACCCAGGGATCCCTTTTTAGGGTCTTAATATGAGCCAAAGACTATGAAGCATACTCTCCTCAGCCCAAGGGCTGCTAATCTTAAAAAAAAAAAAAAGGGGGGGTAGGGGCATCTGGGTGGCTCTGGTCCTGGAACCCAGCCCAGCCTGCTCAGCAGAGTCTGCTTCTCCCTCTCCCTCTGCCCCTTCCCCGACCCCCTGGGCTCTCACATGGGCACTCTCTCATATAAATAAATAAAATTTCAAAAAAAACAACAAACAAGTAACAATCTATGTTCACTAACTAGTCTCATAAAAATAAAATGTGGGGATCCCTGGGTGGCGCAGCGGTTTGGCACCTGCCTTTGGCCCAGGGCACAGTCCTGGAGACCCGGGATGGAATCCCACATCGGGCTCCCGGTGCATGGAGCCTGCTTCTCCCTCTCCCTCTCCCTATGTCTCTGCCTCTCTCTCTCTCTCTCTCTGTGACTATCATAAATAAATTAATTAAAAAAAATAAAAAATTTAAAAAATAAAAAAATAAAAATAAAATAAAAATAAAATGTCCCAGGAATCCCTGGGTGGCTCAGCGGTTAAGTGCCTGCCTTCGGCCTAGGGCGTGATCCTGGGGTCCCAGGATCCAGTCCTGCATTGGGCTCCCTGCATGGAGCCTGCTTCTCTGTCATGAATAAATAAAATCTTTTAAAAATAAAATAAAATGTCCCATCTCCGTGACCCTTTTCACTAAGGTCACATTCAGCTCTTGCTATCAGGATGCTCGAAGCCCTAGGCCCTACACACCACTGACATGTTCCAAGAGCCCCAGTCACCGAGCACTGGGGCGCTCGCCCATACCGCCCCCTACACCTTGGGCAGTCCAGAAATCTCGGTCATATCGTGTTTTCACTTCTCGGTTTTGAAGAATCGTGCGAGCAGATGTACCCGTAGAATCACCATCTTCCTTTATTTCTGTCCGACCTTCAAAGCCCGCAGCCCCCTTCTCTTCCATGGACCCTTCCGAGGTCGCAGTGGGCCCCGCAGGCTCCCTCCTCGTGCCGGTTTCCAAGCCTGGCCGTGTTCCCGGCATGCCACAGGGCCCTGGCACCTGCCCTGCCCCTGTCCTCCACCTGTCCTGCCCCTGTCCTCCACCTGCCCTGGCCCTGCCCTGGCCCTGTCCTCCACCTGCCCTGGCCCTGTCCTCCACCTGCCCTGGCCCTGTCCTCCACCTGTCCTGCCCATCCTCCACCTGCCCTGCCCCTGTCCTCCACCTGTCCTGCCCCTGTCCTCCACCTGCCCTGCCCCTGTCCTCCACCTGTCCTGCCCCTGTCCTCCACCTGTCCTGCCCCTGTCCTCCACCTGCCGTGGCCCTGCCCTGCCCCTATCCTCCACCTGTCCTGCCCCTGTCCTCCACCTGCCCTGGCCCTGTCCTCCACCTGTCCTGCCCCTGCCCTGCCCGTCCTCCACCTGCCCTGCACCTGTCCTCCCCTTCGGGCACCTCGGGGGCAAGAGCTACTGCTCCCACCGCGCGCATGCGCCGCACCTCCCAGGGCTCCCCTCCCAGCAGGTGCTCCTAGATGCTACCACCCGCTCTTCGACCTCCGGGTCCTACAGGGCCTGCTAAGCGACAGCTGGGTTCCCTCGACCCGCGCCCTCCAGGCCCGCTCCTGCTCCTGCTCCTGCTCCGCCCGACGCAGCCGCAGGAGAGCGCGAAGCCCGCGCGCATGCGCCACGCGCGGCCGCCACGTTAGGGACCCGACGAGGCGGCGCGTGCGCAGGTGGCAAGAGCGGCCAGACCCAGGCGGCGCGCGCAGCCCCGCCCGACGTCACAGGAAGTGGGGCCCACGCGGCGCGCCAGGGGCGGAAGTGAGCGTTGCCGGGGCGCGGCCGTGGGGGAGCGTGTCCCGCCGAGGTAGGCCGGGCGTCCGCGGGCGGCGGGCGGGGCGGGCGTGGGGCCTCGCGGAGCCGAGGCCGCCGGGCTGGAAGTGGGCCGCCGCGTAGACCTGCTCTGGCTCCCGCTCCAAGGAGGAAGCGCGGCTGCTTCCCGAGGGCCCCGCTCCGTGGGGACCGAGCCGGCGCCGGCCGCCGGGCGGGGACGGGTCGGGGCCGCGGTCCGCCGTGGGCGCGGGGGAGGGGCCGGGAGCGTCCTCCGGCCCAGGCCCGGCGGGCGGGCGGCGCCGACCGTCCTCCGAGCGGCCCAAGCTGCGCAGCGGGGCCGCTGCCGCCTCCTCGCGGGCTGCGCGTAGGCCGTTGGCGGAGCGCCCCGCACGGAGCTGTGTGGACGTCGTCGGACGCGGCCTGAGGCCCGGGAGGGACGCGAACGCCCGCCCCCCGGAAGCGCGGGCCACGTGCGTCCGCCGAGGTTCCGGGGCCGCCACGTCACAGCGGGGGGCGGGGCCGTGGGGCTGCGGGGAGGGCCCAGGGCGCCTGCGCGGCGGGGGGGGGGGGGGGGCGGCTCCACGGGAACCTAGCTCCTCCCCGTAAGGATCACGTAACCGCAGCGCGGAATGGGGATCTTTGGTACTAGCGGACTCCAGCCGCGGAGGCCTCCCTAAAGTGGACGGTTCTTTTTTTCTTTTTAATCAAGATTTTCATGCATTGGGAATCCCTGGGTGGCTCAGTGGTTTAGTACCTGCCTTTGGCCCAGGGCGCTATCCTGGAGTCCCAGGATCGAGTCCCACGTCGGGTTCCTGGCATGGAGCCTGCTTCTCTCTCCTGTGTCTCTGCCTCTCTCTATGTCTATAATGAATAAATAAATCTTTTTTTTTAAAAAAAAAAAAAAAAAAAAAAAAGATTTTCATGCATTGGGCAGCCCGGGTGGCTCAGCGGTTGAGCGTTTGCCTTCAGCCCAGGGCGTGATCCTGGAGTCCCGGGATCGAGGCCGAGGCCCGCGTCGGGCTCCCTGCACGGAGCCTGCTTCTCCCTCTGCCTGGGTCTCTCTGCCTTGCTCTCTGTCTCTCTGTGTCTCTCATGAATAAATATTTTTTAAAAAAAAATTTTTTTTCGCGTATTTGAGGGGGAGAGAGAGAGGAGGGAGACCCCCGCCGGAGCAGGGAGCAGGATCTGGGTGGGGTGAGCGATCTCTCCCAGGACCCTGGGATCATGACGTAAGCCAAAGGCAGATGCTTAACTGACTGAGCCATGCAGGCTCCTCTGAGATGGACGGTTCTTTTTTCTTTTTTTTTTTTAAGATTTATTTATTTATTTATGATAGACATAGAGAGGCAGAGACACAGGCAGAGGGAGAAGCAGGCTCCATGCAGGGGCCCGATGTGGGACTCGGTCCTGGGACTCCAGGATCATGCCCTGGGCCAAAGGCAGGCGCCAAACCACTGAGCCACCCAGGGATCCCCAATTTATCCTTTAGTTTAAAAAATTTATTTTTATTTTTATTAAGATTTTATTTATTTATTCATAGAGACACACAGAGAGAGACAGAGAGGCAGAGACACAGGCAGAGGGAGAAGCAGGCTCCATGCAGGGGCCCGATGTGGGACTCAGTCCCGGGACTCCGGGATCACGTCCCAGGCAGAAGGCAGGTGCTAAACCGCTGAGCCCCCCAGGGATCCCCGAGAGGGACAGTTAAGTCCTGACACTCAGGAGGCTTCCCTCCGTGCAGAGGGGAAATAAGTCCTCACTGGAGAGATTAACCAAGTCTGCCCGTTTCCATATAGGGGATTGGTGGAGGAGAGGGGAGGCGAAGCCCCGCTGGACTGGGGGGTCATGCTTCTTGATCATGTTCAGAAAAGTCATGGAAATAGTAAACTAGGGGCACTGGGTGGCCCAATCGGTAGGGCGTGGGCCCTCAGCTCAGGTCGTCATCTCTGGGTCCTGGGACGAGGCCGTCATCAGGCCCCCTGTTCAGCAGGCAGTCTGCTGCCCCCTCGCCCCTGCTCATGCTCTGTCTCTCTGTCTCAAATAAATACAATCTTTAAAAAGAAACCGCAAATTAGAATGTCTCTGGGCTTATTGGATGGATTAAGCGCATACTGGTGGACCTAGACGTCCAGCCTTCCCAGGTCCCAGGGGAGAACAAGACTGGCAGCCCGCCCATCCTGTATTTTTAGGAACTTGAGAATAGAGCTTTAAAATAATACCCTATTCCTGGGTTTATCCGAAAGTTTAAATAGTATTCTTGTGATCTTAACGTGCCCCCTTTACTGTTAAATAGTATGGAACCCTAATGCATGGTAAACAGTGGCAGGTTGTTATCATGGCGCTTAGAGTATCTCTAAACTTGAAGACAGTTTAAATTACTGGTCATATTTGGTTTTTCTTACCTGCCAGCCTTAGAATTTGTTCCAAGAGTGTGTGTTAGACAATGATGTTAAAATGCTTCAAAGTTGTAAAGAATGCTTTAAAGGAGAGAAAACATTTAGGGGAGGGGAACACTCAGGGTTTCTTATATTGAGCTTGGGTAGCTTCAATTCCAGTTTGACTCCACTTTTTAGAACTTCTTTGGTACATTTCACTTTTCTGATTACCTGAAACACTGCTCTTTTTTTCCCTCCCTCAGCACTTGGATTCAGCTCCTTCGTTTCCAACATGGAAGAAACTTACAGTATGTACTTCTTATTGCTTTTAGAGAATAAGTTAAATTCCTTGAGTTTAAAAAAAAAATCCTTACACATAGACTTATGTCTCACAAGACTTTTAGCGTATTGGGAAAGATTCACATTTCTCCCTTAACTCCCTTCTCTAAGTGGTAGTAGAGAAGTACCCAAATTTGAAATAAGATACTTGAAATTGATCCAGCTTTAGAAAAACTGCAGGTGGGGCAGCTGTGTTAAACTATACTTTTATTAAGTGAAACTTTATAATTTCTCAGGACTTCGTTTCTCCTATTAAGGACGAGGGGATAGTAACCTCTGTTTTCTTTCTGTTTTGAGGACAATATGATAATCATAGTAATGCTGATGTTCATGGAGTTTGGGGGATTAAAGAAATCCTAGGGGGATCCCTGGGTGGCGCAGCAGTTTGGCGCCTGCCTTTGGCCCAGGGCGCGATCCTGGAGACCCGGAATCGAATCCCACATCAGGCTCCCGGTGCATGGAGCCTGCTTCTCCCTCTGCCTGTGTCTCTGCCTCTCTCTCTCTCTCTCTCTCTCTCTCTCTCTCTGACTATCATAAGTAAATAAAAAATAAAAAAAAATAAAAAAAGAAATCCTAGGAAGAATTGTTATTTCTCAAGTGACTCGGGAACCTTAGATGGCCCGAAAAGTCAGAAGGGAACTAGCATCTAGAATCATAGGAGGAATCAAATGTAGGAATAAAAGCTGAAAAATTATTTAACATTTGTATTTTACATCTGGGAAAATAAAACCTGGATTAACTGATATGCCCAAGGTTACATAGTGAGGGACAGAGTCATATGTTGTTCATATGTAACACCGTACTTGATACCGTAGGCACGATCTTTTCTAGGCCCTGAGTTTAAGGAACATCTGCATGAAGATGGATAACAGTCGTCAGCAGGGCCTACTTTCTTACTTTGCTGTATTGTTGAGTCTCTTTGAAATTAATAAGTTACAACCAAAGGATATTTTTTAGTCCCATTCTACTTTCAAGGAAGAGTCCAAAGGAATCTTTGTCATCAATATATAGAAACTACATGGAAATAGTCTTTATTAAATATCTACATCAGAGGTTCTCAAACTTTAGCATGCAGCAGGATCACCCAGGGAGTTTGTTAAAACTAAGGTTGCTGGTCTTACCCCTAGAATTTCTTTTCTGTTTGTCTGGTTTTGGGGTTTTTCTGGTGGGGGATTGTTTATTTACTCCCAGAATTTCTGATTCAGTAGGTCTGCAACCCAAGAATTTGAAATTCTAACACATTCTCAAGTGAGGCTGCTGATCTGAGGACCACACTTTGAGAATCCTTGATCTGAAAGAAGGTTGATTCTCCTTGATCTTCTTTAGGGCTCTCTCCCCAACCCCTCTAATTTTCCTTAAAATTTTTTAATGTATACCTGGAATTCCCTGTGAGATAGGTAGATTTATATTTATTCTTGAAAGCTTACCCTCTCTGTTAAATTAGAAAGCAACAACTCCCCTTTATGCCTTTCACTCTTTTCTGTTTCAGCTATAGTTTTTTCCTTAGAAAAACATCACCTGGGAGTTCTCAGAAATGCACAATCTCAGGGCCCCATCCCAGACCTACTAAATCATAATCTGCATTTTAATACAGTCCGCAAGTGATTTAACACTGCTTTAGAATATGCTTGACCCTTTTCCAAAATTGACCTTGAACTCTGACCTTAATCTGATAGATTCCTGAAGAGCTCCAGCTTTGTTTTGGGGCTGTACCTCTTAACTGATGATACTTTTGTCTGGTCAAGTTCCCTATTTCTGTGAAGTTTCCTCTATTTCTCACCATGGGTTTCAGGCCCTAAGCATCAGGAACATGTGAATCTATGCTTTTGGAGACAGCTTGTCCACAGGGCTTATGCTGTTTTCCAAGTTGTTATATTCCCAAAAAAGCCAAAATAGAATTTTTGATGAGTAGGTTGATAGTGTTTATTACAAGTATAAAGTATTTGTTACTTTAAATGCACGTGTACCTCAATGTAGCACTCTAAGGTATCTGCCCAAGAGAAATACTCCTAGTACACAAAGAAGTATGTACCAGATTGTTAGTCGTAGCATTATATATAATAGTAAAAAACTGTAAATGGCCTAAATGTCCATCGGTAAGAGAACCAATTAAGAATGTCTGGCACAGGGCAGCCTGGGTGGCCCAGCAGTTTAGCGCCACCTTCAGTCCAGGGCGTGATCCTGGAGTCCCGGGATCGAGTCCCACATCAGGCTCCCTGCATGGAACCTGCTTCTCCCTCTGCATGTGTCTCTGTCCACACACACCATCCCCCCTGCGTCTCTCATGAATAAATAAGTTCTTAAAAAAAAATCTCTGGCACAGGGACACCTCAGTGGCTCAGTGGTTGAGCATCTGCCTTCGGCTCAGAGCATGAACAAGTCCCCCAAATCCTGCATCAGGCTCCCTACAGGGAGCTTGCTTCTCCCTCTGCCTATATCTCTGCCTCTCTCTGTGTCTCTCATGAATAAATAAAATATTTATTAAGAAAAAAAAATCTATGGCACATCCCTATGCAGCACTGATATAGTCCTGTTTGGGCTTGGTTTGGGGTTTTTTGTTGTTGTTGTTTTTAATATTCCTTATATATATTCCTTATATATAAACATAGAAGGAGCTCCAAGATCTATGAAGTTAAAAAGCGGTGGAGGGGGTGGGGGTGGAGGGATTGCACCTGGCTGGCTCAGTTGGAAGAGCACGGAACTCGATCTCAGGGTCATGAGCTTAAGCCCTACATTGTGAGCAGAGATTACTAAAAAGTATAAATAAAAACAAAGAAAAAAAGAAAAACGCATACAGGAAATCCTGTCACATGCTACAATATGGATGAACCTTGGGAACATTATGCTAAATGAAATAAGTCAGTCAAAAAGACATACCCTATGATTTTACTTATATGAAGTATCTGGAATAGTCAGATTCATAAAAACAAGGAGTAAAATTAGTGGTTGCCAGGGATTGGGGAGAGAAGCGAATGGGGAATTGTTGCTTAATAGGTATTGAGATTCAGTTTTGCAAGGTGAAAAATTCTGGAAACTGGTTGCATAACAATGTGAATATACTTAACACTATCAAACTATACACTAAAAATTGGTTAAGATGGTAAATTTTATGTTCTATATATTTTTACCATCATCAAAATTTTTTAAATCAAAAGTAAAATAAAATTTTTGAAATCTAGAAAACCAGGTTAGAGTGAACCTAAGTTACCAGAGGCCAGGAGTTAAAGCATTATGGTAGGAAGCCGTGGTAATCAACTCTGGGATATGTCCCCGTAGGGGCAGTATACTGTGTATGAATCACAAGGCATGTCCAGCCTGTCAGCTACTGGCACGGCCTAACATTTGTTCATGATGGAATGGATTAAATGAAGGGAAACTAATAAGAATTTTATCTGTAAACTCTCCCTGGGTATCCTGAAGCTTCAGAAATCTGAAAAGATTGCTGGTCAGGATGCGCCTGGTTCGCATAATAAACCTTCCTGTCCTCTAAGACTTTTCCTTCCTCTTCATTCTGTCCTTCAGGTCACCTTTCTGGCTCATTTGCATCAGCATCATGGTTAGCAATTTATTCCATGTTTACCACTCTTCCAGGGAAACTGTTTCAATTCCCCAATGGCTTCTGGTTTTCATAGCAATCTCCTGGTTTATAAGCTCCTTATCAAACGTGAATTGTTTATCTTATTTCACTTTTATCATTGCCTTCCATGGTGGCAACAGCATTTTATTAGGTTGCCTCTTGTCCTCATACTCAGAATGTGCTTAACCATTTAATTTCCCTTCCTTAATCAAGCTCACTAAAATCCGTAAAGCCGACAGGCAGCTTTACACATTTAGAGAAACTTCTTTAGTAGCTATAGGGTTGAATCCTGAAAGTATAGTGTCCTAAGGGGAGTTTTAAATAGCATAATCTAGGTTAGGGGCTTGCTTTCACAGGGCAGTTCTATATGTCTGTAGTTGTCTTAAACTTAGGACGTTCTGTGTTTGCAGATTATTTTTTTATCTGCCCAATTCAATCATCACTAGATTAAAGAATTCTCTGGGTTTTCCTCATCTGTGTTTCAAACTGTGAAAAGTAATACCACCTATCTGACAAAGGTATTGGTTTCTTTTGAGAGGTACCTAGAGTAGCCAGGATCAGGAACTACTGACTTTAGTAGTAAGTAAAAGCAGTCAGACAAAAAAATCATCTACCAAGCTGCCATAGAACTTATAACTGATTTAGAGCAGAGCTTATGAACTTTTTTCATGTCATAAAATACTAATAAATAGGCAGGAATGCTGGCAGAGACTATTAATTACCCTCAACTTGCCCTAGAAGTGACTGGTGAAGGGTAAAATAAGAATAGCCTTGAATTAGCAACTTCTAGGGGCACCTGGGTGGCTCAGGGGTTGAGTGTCTGCCTTTGGCTCAGGGAGTCCTGGGATCCAGTCCCGCGTTGGGCTCCCTGCATGGAGCCTGCTTCCCTCTCTCTCTCTCTCTCTCTCTCTCTCTCTGTGTGTGTGTGTGTCTCATGAAGAAATAAATAAAATCTTTAAAAAAAGAGAATAAGAATTAGCAGTTCTAGAAGGGAAAAGGATATCATTTCATTGAACTTTATTGTTGTTTTCATTGATTACCCCTACTATAAAACAAATCTATGCACAACCAAATACGAACTAAGATCCTATCCCGTGATAGCTTGTTTTGCTGTACTTAGGAAGATTTGGTGGTAATTCAGTTTTATCTTCTCAGAGTTACATTTCCATGTTTAAATGTTTAGTCATCCTTTTTTAAGTTCCAACTTGTTGTTAGACTGTCTTTTCTATTCTTACAGAGTCTGTTGAAAAATCCAGTATGCCTGGAATACTGTAGTTTTACAAAGGCTTAAAGCTTAAGCTTCATGTTTATTCTACCTTTCTCTCTTTCAGTTGATTCTCTGGACCCTGAAAAGCTATTACAATGCCCTATGATAAAAACCACCAGATCAGGGCCTGCAGGTTTCCTTATCATCTTATCAAGTGCAGAAAGGTAAGGCATTATTTTCATAATTTGCCTTGTAATGACCTCTTGAGACTTTTAAAAAGTCAAATTTTGTAACTATCATATAATTTTAGCAAAAAATGTTTTGATTTAATGCCAGACTTGTTTTAGGAATCTACATTTGTGTTAAATACCAACATTTATAGAAAGGCGTTTGTTTCTTGGGTACATAAGTTTTTTCTTGTTTTCATTTTTTTCTCCCTAGTGACAAAGTGCCCTCTATGTACTCTTCTTGTAAAACAGAGAAAACACTAATTTTTGTTAACAATAAGAAATCCCTCTTGCCATGTGAATTTGATGTGTTCGTTGTCCTAATATAGATTGAGTGCCACAATACACTTATTTCTGATTTCTTTTTGTTTGGAATTTTAGAGAAATTGAACAGCTAGAGGTTAGCCTAAGAAAAGATTATTCCTATAAATAACTTTCTCCAAGTTTCAGTCTTTGATTGAAGCATCTTTGAGAGGGGAAAAAAGAACTGATAAAATTTTTTTCTCTGGTCACTCTTTTGTAGTCTTAGCTGATATAAACTACTTTAATGCTGGCATACTAATTGAAGCACTTTGAAGGGATTGTTAGAATAGGAATGTTGGATCAAAGGCCAAAAGTCTGCAAGGATTTATGCTTGGACAGCATTTTTGATATTTAATCCAAACTTCATACGATTCATGTATGCATTAGCATCCTTTAAAGGGCGTTTCTCTTGCAGTCCTAATGACATGATTATCATGCCATTGTTGATCATTTCTCCAGCTCTTTACAATCTATAGAATAGGGGCCCCTGGGTGGCTCAGTCTGTTGAGCGTCTGCCTTTGGCTCAGGTCACGATCCTGGGGTCCCGGGATGGAGCCCCGGGTCCCTAATGAGCAGGGAACCTGTTTCTCCCTCTCCTTCTGCATCCCCCGCCCGCCCCGCCTCCCCCCCCCCCCCCCCCCCCCGCTCCTCACTTGCTCGCTCTCTCAAATAAATAAAATCTTAAAAATAAAACTGTAGAGCAAAGATCACTTAAAGTTCAACCTGGATAATGTGGACCAGCAGATACCACCATGACTTCCTTCCTTAAGCTTGCAAACATGTCCCAAGGATAAAGGTTGGGAAGCCAAGCAATAAAAAGGCATTGTCTTTAACTCTCCTGTTTGTTTGTTCATTTGTTTTTTGAGAGCGAGCATTCGTGCACACAGGAGGGGGAGGGGCAGAGGAGAGAGAGAATCTTAAGCAGTCTCCCACCCAGTTCAGAGCCCCACCCAGGGCTCCATCTCATGACCCCAGGATCATGACCCGAGCCAAAATCAAGAGTCAGACACTTAACCAACTGAGACACCCAGGCGTCCCTTTAACTCCCCTCTTCTAACGCCCTTAATCTTCAACCACAAAAATCTTTGCATTGGAATGCTCAGTATCCCTTATGAAAATCATGGAGATAACTGCCCTCACAATTTTCTTCATCCTGTTTTTATCTAGCGTCCTCCCACCTCACATTATTTTTACTTTTTTGAGTATCATTTGTGATATATGTTTTGCTTCTCCTAATCAGTTTTTTGATTGCTAATATGCTTACTATAGGATTTGGATGATATTAAACACACCAGTTTTTTTGTTTTGTTTTAAAATAAGGACTTGATCAGCAGACTCGACTCTCTCATTTAGGCTTTTCCTTAGTAAAATAGCTGAAATAAAGGTCAAATTGTTCACAGCCTCATTTCAGGCATCGTTACTTTAAATAAGCGTTCCTGTGTTAATCCGAAAAATCATTGGTCTGCTGCTTCTGCAGCTCCCTCCCCACAGCTGTTTTCCAGCACTATTGTATGGCAATAGCAGGGGCACTACTGCAATGCAGACTAAGAATATGTTTTCATTTTACTGTTTCCTGAATATCACCCTCCAGAGACAGCCAGAGAGCTCCACCATTACAGGCTGTGCTGCCAAGAGTCTTGGGACCCTGAGAAATATGCTTCAAATACCCAATCCTAGCGGCGTCTGGGGGGCTTAGTCGGTTAGGCAGTCGATTAAGCATCTGCCTTCAACTCAGGTCATGATCCCACGGTCCTGGGATCGAACCCATGGTGAGCTCCCTGCTCATCGGGGAACCTGTTTCTCCCTGTGCCCACCCCCCACCCCCATTCATGCTCCCTCGCTCGCTCTCTCACTGTCTCTCAAATAAAATTTCAAAAAACCAATGAAACAAATACCCAATGCTGAATTCACTGTTCACTCCCACATAAGCCACTGTAAACCCAGTACCTGCGTTGTCACTCTCTAAGATCATAAGAAAGAAGCTTACATTTTGATGATTTTGAGGTCACCTGTACAGTCTGTATGAGTGAGAAATAAGTTCCCTCTTAATTTTCTACCATGAGCTCAACCACCTTAGTTAAGCCACAAGTGTACTGAGAGATTTGGGGGGAGCCATTTATAGCATAAGGCTAAGCCACTCCCTTTGAATCTGAAGAGATCCAGAGAATTGACAGATCCGTTAATGTTTGTTCCACAGAATCATCCTGATGTCGCAAACAAATTGGCTACTTGTCCCTTCAATGCTCGCCACCAGGTTCCTCGGGCCGAAATCAGTCATCATATCTCAAGCTGTGATGATAAAAGTTGTATTGAGCAGGATGTTGGTAAGACTAGCTGAAATGTGTCAGTCCTGGAGGTTAGCGCCTTCGGATTTGTATTGTGCTCCGTTGTCCCCTTGATTTTTGGCTTTCATCATTTCAGAAGAATAGTACCTCTCTGCCCTTGAGTTTTTTATCTCCTCAATAAAAGGTTGTCAGGCTGTGTTTATCAGACTGTTTTCTCTCTGAACAACCTGATCCATTTTACCAATAATTCATCTAAAAATAAAAATCTTTTTATTGCCAAAAATATGGTAACCAACTTTGTTTTTGCTTCTTTTTCTTCCGTCAGCGAGGGGATAAGACCTCTGTTGAGGGATCCCTGGGTGGCTCAGCGGTTTGGCGCCTGCCTTTGGCTCAGGCCGTGATCCTGGAGACCAGGGATCGAGTCCCACGTCGGGCTCCCTGCATGGAGCCTGCTTCTCCCTCTGCCTCTCTCTCTGTGTCTTTCATATGAATAAATAAATAAAATCTTTAAAAAAAAAAAAAAGACCTCTGTTGAGCTATGAATAGCATGCGTTTTTCAGAAGCAAAGACCTATTAGGCTACCCTGAAACCTTTTAAGCCACTTAAACCACTTGATGGTATCCCCTCCTTACAACAGAATCTTTATCATCTTGCAGTCAACCAAACCAGGAACCTTGGACAAGAGACTCTGGCTGAGAGCACATGGCAGTGCCCTCCTTGCGATGAAGACTGGGATAAAGGTGAAGTGTCTCTACCTCTTTTTCTTCAGTGTCTAAACCTCAGGTCATTTGCTATATACAGAAGGAAGATTTTTCTTTTTTATGAGCATACCATGTTGTTCAGAATGCCTTATTTTTATTGGATCCCCAAACGAGCCCATTTGTATCGCTGTGCAGACACGTGGAACAGCCTATCCCTCTTGATTGGAAAAAGCACTTCTTTACGTCTGTTTTTTTACCATAAATTGCGTCGTACCATCTGTGTTTGGTTGTTACTAGGCACGTTTATTATTACTTATGTTGCTTGCATTTATATCCTTCAGTTAAATCCTTCTGTGTCACTTAGGCAGGGTACTTGATCAATTTTTACTTGCTTCTCTCAACTGAGGTGTATTATTTCCCACCTTACAGATTCAACTAGCATAAACCGGTGTTTTGCCTAGGAGTGCCCCAAACTCTGTTTTCCTTTCTTTGGCAGATCTGTGGGAACAGACCAGCACCCCATTTGTCTGGGGCACAGCCAACTACTGTGGCAACAACAGGTAAATGGAATGGTCTCATTCCCAGCACTGCCTCCCAAAATCCCAAATGCTTTGTAACCAAAAGAAGCCACCAAAGGATGATTTGATGTCTTTCCTTAATGATGTTACTTGGTGATAACTTAGTCTAGAAAGTTTTAATGGGTTATATTCCTTACTTATTCCTCAAATCATTAAAAAGGTCACATGCTTTGTGTTAATTGCTGTGGGAACACAAAAATACGAGCTTATAGTCTAGCAAGGGGGACAGTGGTACCCAAAATTCTTATGTCTAAGTTGGGGTTTTTTGCTAAGTTGGCATTATTTTAAGACTTTGGAAAAATTCTCTAGCTACGCCATATGGATCACTTTTACTCTGGGTAATTAATGTCTAAGGGAAAAATAATCTTTCAAGTTCTTGATATGAAATTGGGCAAGCCTGGGATGCCCGGGTGGCTCAGCGGTTGAGCACCTGCCTTGAGCTTAGGGCGTGATCCTGGAGTCCCGGGATGGAGTCCCACATCTGGAGCCTGCTTCTCCCTCTGCCTGTGTCTCTGCCTCTCTCCCTCTCTCTCTGTCTCTGTATGTTTCTTATGAATAACTAAATTAAAAAAAAAATTGGGCAAGCCAGAGTACCTACCTACTGGGTAGGAAAGAAAATTCATCTCTTTTCCACTGATTTTGGGTCTATCTGCATCTAAGTGTGGGGCTTGAACTCATAACCCTGAGATCAAAACCTGAGCCAAGACACCTGCTTAACCAACCGAGCCACTCAGGCACCTTGCTATCTAATTTAAATCTGTGAGATTTCTCATTACTACTTCATCTTCAAACCTTAGAAGATCAAGTTTCAAATATTCAGAAATGAGAATGTTTATGGATTAGAAAATGAAGAAACAAGATGCTACACTTCATTTTTCCCCGAGTAGAATGCTTATCAATTTTTATTTAACTCCTAAGATAAGTTATTAATTGTACGTGTACCTTATTTTGTTTGTACACTAAAATAGAAAAACTTAAAGATGAATTTTTAATGTTACAATTTTAATTTTACCTCAGTTCTGTGAGATTTGGTTTGGTCACCTTGGCATTTTATTTTACCTCTTACATTTATTGAGCGAGTTGATGAGTTCAGTTGATGAACTGAACAGTAGATGGCATTGCTGTTTATCTCAGTTTCTGGTAAATGAAAATGGTTAGACCCATGTTAATGCTTGTACAGAAAAGGGAGCTTTTCAGAGAAGTAGTAATCATTCTAATTGTGTTTACATTTCAGAATGTAGTTTGCTGTTTTCCCCCAAATTACAAAAAATGCATTTTGATGGTCTTGTGTGTGCCTGCCTGAAGACTACAGATATGCTGGCATAAGCAAATTTGTCTTTATTTTTGCAGCCCTGCAAGCAACGTAGTCATGGAACATAAGAGTAACCTGGCTTCAGGCATGCGTGTTCCCAAGTCTCTGCCGTATGTCCTGCCATGGAAAAACAGTAAGCGAGATACAGGCGAAATGCTTTTACTCCTCATTGTGCTAAATACAGTTGGTCTTGATAACTCAAAGACATACTCAGTGGGCGCTCGTCTCACTCGCGTGACCCTGAGAACAAGTGCCTCCTTGGATTTTGCATTCTTAGCACCTCACTCACTTCACTCCAGTCTCGGCCCTGGTTAGTAAGAGGAAATTATGAGTAGGAAAATACAAGACTGCAGAAACCAAAAGAATATTTTCAAGTTGGGGTGACCACTGACATCAAATACCTTGGGTAACGTTGGGGACCAATGAAAAGCCTACTGATTTTGGGTAGGAGGAAGAGTCATCCCTGATGCTCAAGGCATAAGATCAGTAGAAATTGGATTGCAGAGACTTAAAAGGAAATGAGTAAAAAGAAAATGAAAGTAATAAGTAATAGGAACTAGCATAAGAATAGTATTCCGACGTCTTCCCTAGACCTCAGAGGCCGTGCCGATCAAGGAGGTACTAAATTCATATTTTATCACCCCGATAAATTCCCACGTAGGGAACACCAAGATACTATCATTTTTATTTAATATAGACTCTCCTTAATGTTGCCCCCAAATTCAGATTCCCTTGATTTCAGTCTGTGCTACTGTTTGAGCTAATTTTTTAGGTGGTTAGAGGATTCCCTTTAAAACATTTCCCTTTAAAAAAAATAAAAAATAAAAAAAAATAAAACATTTCCCTTTGGATACTTGTATTTCCCAAAAAATGAGATCCCCAAATCATATGCCTAAAGGCTTGATAGGCAATGTACTGTTCTTTTCCCAGGCTCTTGAGTAGAATCCAATCACTAATTTTAAATTCTTCCACGTCTGTATTGTAATTCAGTATACCCCAAGAATAAGTCATTTGTGTTCAGTAAAAATAGGGGAAGAAGTGATTTTCAATTGTCATGGTGTGTTTATTTTGAAATATTTCTACTCCGTAGATGGAAATGCACAGTAACGGAGTATCTATCTCATCAAGTAAGTGTTTCAGTTTTATTTCACTATCTCTTCAGATGGTAGCAAGATTTGACTGGACATAAAGCAATTTGGGTCCAATTTTCTTTCAGATTAGGGTACCAAATTAAAGCTTTGTGCGTGCCTGTGTTTTTTAAGTATATAGCTTCTGTTATGGCTCTACACACTAATGAATAGGCATTTACTGGTTAAATTAGAATTCTGTTAACATGCCAAGTTGCTTTCCCTAACGTTAGTACATATTGCCTTTTTCCTTTTCCTTTTTTCTTTTTTTTATCAAAGTTGCATTCTAGATCTATCATGCCTTTTTAATGGACTGAGATTAATCAGACAGCTGTGCTTCACTGCTCTGCAATTTTTTCCCTGTGCAGTACGGTTTAACACTCATCAAAAAATCCATACTCTTTTTAATGAGCAGTTAAAAGTTTGGGGTCTCTAAGAAGCTTGCACTGTTGACATAATCTGAATATTTGAGTTAGCCAAGTCTCACAAAATTTATAAGAGACCAAAACCTCTTTGTTTTTACAAACAAAGCTTTTCCTTGAGGTAACCCTCTATACCTATGGCAGACCCAAAGTTGATGCTTCAAATGCTGTTTTGGCTGAGGTTGTCCAGCCGTATCGCTCCTGACAAAAGGAATATTATTAGGCTAGGAATGAGACTACATCCACACTGTCTTGCCGATAGTAGGCCCTCTGTGAAAATTTATTTAATGAGTGAGTAATTGGCCTCTTGCCTTCCAGTTCATTCACTTCCCCTGCAGGGTGAAGCAGATGGATCTCCTGAGTCAGGATTCATTTACACCAAAACCGATATTTCTTCTAGTGAGCAGCAGAAAAGAGATTCTAAAAGTAAACACCCCTTAGCTTTGAACAATAATGTTTATGAGTTGCTTCTAGGTGCTAGCCATTGGTTTTGATGTCAGATTGTTAAATACATCTGGAAACCAGAAAACTGAATTTGGCCCCAGAAGGGAAAGAGATGCAAAAGCACTGGGGTGTGTCAGGAAAGCACACACCAACCTGGATGGATGGTGAACTTTGAATCCTTCTCTGACACACTGCACACAAGGTGCTTGGTTCTCGTAAAGTAGGGATTGCTACCTAATAAAAATGGTCTAGGGGCACCTGGGTGCTTTAGCCCGAAGAGCATGTGACTCAACGATCTCAGCGCCATGAGTTCAAGCCCCACCTTGGGTGTAGAGCTTACAGAGGGGGGGGAAAAAAACGTTACTCTATGGGTGCCTGTGTGGCTCAGCCGGTTAAGGGGCCAGCTCTTGATTTTGGCTGAGGTCATGATCTCAGGATCCTGCAGTCAAGCCCTGCATCGGGCTCCCTGCTCAATAGGGAGTCTGCTTTCTTCTTCCGCCCCTCTCTCTGCTCACATGTGTGCACATGGTCTCTCTCTCTCTCTCTCTCAGAAATTTTTGTTAAAGATTTATTTACTTATTCATGAGAGAGAGAGAGAGAGAGGCAGAGACACAGGCAGAGGGAGAAGTAGGCTCCATGCAGCGAGCCCGATGTGGGACTCGATCCTGAACCCGGGATCATGCCCTGAGTCAAAGGCAGATGCTCAACTGCTGAGCCACCCATGCATCCCTCTCCCAAATTTTTTTTAAGATTTTATTTATTGAGAGACAGAGGCAGAGACACAAACAGAGGGAGAAGCAGGCTTCATGCAGGGAGCCCAATGTGGGACTCAATCCCAGAACGCCCAGATCACACCCCAGCTAAAGGCGGATGCTCAACCACTGAGCCACCCAGATGTCCAAATAAATCTTTTCATTTATTTTTTTTTAAGTTCATTGGAAACGGAAGCATATTTGTGTTTTATTTCCCAGAAAGCTTAGACCGTTTTTTTTTTAAGATTTTATTCATGAGAGAGAGAGAGAGACAGACATAGGGAGAAGGAGAAGCAGCCAAAGGCAGACGCTTCAACGACTGAGCCACCCAGGCGTCCTCCAAATAAATCTTTTTAAAAAACAAGTTACTCTAAGGGGCGCATGGATGGCTCAGTCAGTTAAGCAACTGACCTTGGCTCAGGGCATGATCCTGGGGTCTTGAGATCGAGTTCCACATAGGGCTCTCTGCTCAGTGAGGAGCCTGCTTCTCTTCCTCTGCCTGCTGCTCCACCCATCTGTGCTCTGTCAAATAAACAAAATCTTAAAAAACAAGGGGTGCCTTGTTTTCTTTTAGAAAAAAAAAAAAACAGAAAAACCCAAGTTACTCTAAGGTAAGAGCCTAGGAGAAGCTTCTGTCTCTAACACCCAAGAGTAGACACTTTATCTCCTTTGGAACTTCACTTTTCATGTATCAAACCCCATACATGCTGAAAATGTATTTTTCTGTATGACCCCTGGGGGATCAGGAGAGAAAAACTATCCTAGGTTAGGTAACAATCTTTAAACGCCACAGACCTTTTTATCTCTTAATAAAAATAAAGTATCATTTTTTGAATGCCCGTTGTTGCAGAATTCTCTAGCTTCTTTGGAAAGATAGGAAAGAAATAGGAAGTAGGGCTTATTCTCTGAAGGAACTTCGGTGTGGGTGGAGATTTTTTTTTTTGAATGCACATACATGAACAGGGTTTGTTCACCTTGCACCTGATATGTTTTATCTCCGTGTGTTTTTATCAAAAATCCACTTTTTTACTAGATAAGTATCTCAAACCAGGTGATGGCACATTAATTTTTATTCCCCTAATGTATGTTGTAAGAGCTCAGAAAATATTACTGAATCACTGACATATGACAGAGCATATGAGAAGAGAAAAAGATCAATGTAAGTTAATTAAAATTAATGCAGAATTGTCTGGAGGAGCCAGTCGTATGCATAGTCAGTTCTGATTTTCTTCTCACTTGTGAAACTCTTGACATGAGGAGTGTTCGTTGATCTCTGTAGAATGTCTTTAATTCCATCAACAAGTTTCTGTGTGCTTCGTGGTACTGAGGGGCTGAGGGTCGGAGGCACCTGCTGTTCTAGATGAACAGCAGCACATTCTCCCCCCTGACCAGGAGCTGGTGCCCGGTCACAGTTGTGTGACCTGTTGTCAGATGTAGCTGCTGTTTTTATCACTGAAAGGAACTAAGAACTCTTCTTTTTCTCTCATTTCCTTACAGATGCCAGACCCTGGAAGACTCTTGCTTCTTCCTGCTACCAGTGGGTTCTTCGGGGTGTTTTTCCTCCTAACCTAATTATAGAAAGATAAACTGTCTGTGACTTTCAAACTGACAAGTACCTTTTTTTCTCCCCTCCCTGCTCTGAGTCTTCACGCATTTGATGCAAGAAAGAACCTCACACTCAGAACTGTTTCAAATAAAGCATCCACGTAGATAGCTTGATAGTTTGGTTAAGTACCTGCAGCCCCAAGAGCAGAAATGACATCTCATTTCACATTAATGAAACATAATTATTTGAAGTTATCTCAAAAGGATCCAGCTAAAGCAGGCAAGAAACACAGGGGCTGGAAAAAGTAACTGTGTATTTGTGTTCTCTGACACACGTAGCTCAGATTCTCTTTAGAATTTATAGGAATAGACCTATTTTGATCAGTGCATCTCCTTGTCCAGAGTCTTTAAGATGTTGATAGCATTTAGATAGCAAAATACCCCATTGTTGTTTAGAGTCTTTAGGACATCTTGCTCCCTGAAAATTTCAACCTGGAGTAGGTTTCTTTTGTTTCTTTTATCTCTCCCACATTCCAGCTAGAAATTATACCAGCTGTCAAACCAGGTGTAGATTATGTAGGAGTGAAGGTCGGAATGGAGGAGAGGAACAGCGTGTATGTGGAGAAGAGACAGGCTTTCCCCCTATGTGTGAAATTTGATTAAGCCTCAAAGCTTGCATGTGTGATGGCCCTGCTGACTCTCCTGGAATGTATGTATAAAAGTCAGATTTCTGAAATACCCAAGGCTCTGGCTGTCCTAGCATTTTGTTGGCCCTTAAAGGAAACTTTATACTCTCCCAGCCCAGTTTTTTTATTTGGATTATCTGTGTATTTTTTGAGTTTT